CGTCCGCGACGGCGCCGTCGCGCTCCGCGGCGAGGTGCGCCGCGGACCGGCCCAGCGCCGTCGCGTCGGCCTCGGCGGACGCCGCGAGCGCGCGGCACCGGGACGCTTCTTCCCGTAAGCTCTCGAGCTCCTCGGCTTGGGCGCCGTCGAGCTCGTCCGCGAGGTCCCGGTCGCGCTCGAGGTCCGCGACCTGCGCCGCGAGCCGCTCCGCCCTGTCCTCGAGGTCGAGGTTCCGCCCGCTCAGCGCCTCCACGAGCTCGAGGCTCGCCGCGTCGTCGCGCGCCCGCTCCCGGAGCTCGTCGAGCTCGGCCTCGTGCGCCGCGCGCCACGCGCCGTCCACGCTCGCGGCGCGGAACGCGGCCTCGGCGGCGGCGAGCCGCGACGCCGCGGCGGCCGCGTCGGCCTCGCTCAGCGCCTTTAACTGCGCGAGCGCGCCGCGGAGCGCCGAGGCCTCGTGGTCGTCGCCGGCGGCGCCGGCGAGCTTCGCCTCCTCGACGGCGAGCGCGAGCTCCTCCTCCGCCGACTCCTTCTCGAGGAGCGCCGCCTCGAGGTCGAGCCGGCAGAGCTCGAGCGTCTCGCGCGCCTCGTCGACCTGGCCGTGGAGCTGGGCCGACTCCCTGGCAGCGAGGCCGACGGCGGCCTCGAGGCGCGCCTTCGCCGCCTCGCTCCGCGCGAGCTGCGTCTCGAGGTCCGAAGCGGCCGCGTTGGCGGCCTGAGTCTCCGCGCGCGCGGCGTCGAGCAGCGCGGCCGCCGCGGCATCAGCCATCGCGTTCGAATCAAGGTTCAACCTTTGCTTCGTGGCGTCGATGAAGTGCGACCATGACTCGAATCACCCGAGGGGGTTGACCGCCGGTATGCCTGGTAGTATGCGCCCGCTATGCGGGCTTTATGCGGGCTTTATGCGGGTGTTATGCGGGTGGTATGCGGGTGGTATGCGGGTGGTATGCGGGTGGTATGCTGGTGGTATGCGGGTGGTATGCGGGTGGTATGCGTCTGCTATGCCGGTGGTATGCGTCTGCTATGCCGGTGGTATGCGGCTGCTATGCTGGTGGTATGCGCCTGCTATGCTGGTGGTATGCTGGTGGGCTGCTATGCTGGTCTTATGCGCCTGCTATGCTGGTGGTATGCGGCTGCTATGCTGGTCTTATGCGCCTGCTATGCGCCTGCTATGCGCCTGCTATGCGCCCGCTATGCGCCCGCTATGCGCCCGCTATGCGTCTGCTATGCGGCTGCTATGCGGCTGCTATGCTGGTGTATGCCGTGGCTGGTGTATGCCTGGTGGTCGGCCCCCTCTGCGAATCACACCGCGTACACCGTGTTACGCCCCGCTCTGGCAGTGCGCGCAGGCGCAGACGAAGCCGTAGTTGCGGAAGAGCCAGGCGCGCCGCGCGGCGCCCGGGAGGTGCCGCCGCGCGGCGCCGCCGTAGTCCGCGAGAAGCTCCGCGCCGGCGGCGACGTCGCGCGTCGCGACGACGCCGCAGACGCGGTCCCCGTCGGGCATGGTCACGAAGGCCGTGGAGACGTTGGCCGCGGGCCCGCAGGCGTGGTTGAGCCGGCTGAGCCGCTCGAAGACGTGGACGCCGTAGTCGCCCTCGCGGAGGCTGTTCCTGGGCAGCAAAAGAGAGATTCAACGTCGCTTCAACGTGAGTGTTCCGCGCGCGCGCGTTCCGGAAAAAAGCATCCACGCTTCGAGACCGTTCCAAGAGATGATCGCTCGTCCAAAAATCAGCCAAAACGAGTGGAAAACGGCCGAGATAGGAGCCTTTGAAGTGGGAATTCGCTCTC